CCACCTCAGCCTCCCAAGTAGCTGGGACTACAGGCACTTGCCACCATGCCCAGCTAATTTTTGTATTTTTTGTAGAGACAGGGTTTCATGATGCTGCCCAGGTTGGTCTGCAACTCCTGGCCTCAAATGAGCCTCCTGCCTCAGTTTCCCACAGTGCTGGGATTACAGGCATAAGCCACCATGCCCGGCCTACATTATTTCTTACAACTACTTATGAATCTACAATTAAAACAACAAAAACCAAACTATATACATAGGCGTACATACAAAATAATGGTACATGAAATAGATCCGAAATGGCCAAAAAGTGCTGATGTCCTGGTGGGTGGTTTGAACCGAGGGCCTGGGGCGCCGGCCTTTGAATCCTAGCTCCTGGGCTTACTGCCCCGGTGCCTGGACCAGTTTCCTCACTGCTGTGTGCCTCGATGTCCTCGTCTGCGAGCTGAGGCCATGAAGAACCCTCCCGGAAGCCCTGCCAGAGCTCAGCGTCCACCACAATTCCCAGGGGCAGGGCCTGGTGCTCCCTGGGACTGTGACCCGCCTGGACCAAGAACGTGAGTTCTGGCTCCGAGCATCTGGAAGGTTCAGCCCTCCCCCTCCCCCGAGGGTCCCAGGTGTGACTCACTGAGCCCCGGCCGATGCACCTCACGCAGGGTGTGGGTCATGCCCGCCTTGTAGCCCAGGAAGGCCGTGAGGTGCACAGGCTGGCTGGGGTCATCCCGCGGCCACGTCTTCACCTTGCCCCGGTGCCGGCGGCTCCTCTTGTGGGGCAGGAAGCCCAGGTGTCCATGCCGAGGGGCGGAAAACTTCCGGTGGGACTGGGGGACAGTAAGGAAGGAGGTCAGACCTGGGGTGTCCCTGGTGGTGGAGCTGGATGGTCCCAGAACCCGAACCTGGAAAAATGGACTCCAGGCCTCAGACTGAGGCCGGTGCTCAGCACCTCCCCTGTCTGCCTACCGGAGAGAGGAAGGTTCACCAAGGGGCAGGGTCTTTGGGATGGCGTCTCCATAGCCACGGGCTTCCTGCCTCTGTGGGCTCAGCCTGGGGCCCAGGAGGGTTGCACCCATACTGCGGCCAAGGACTCCTGGGGCAGGTGGCCGCTGTCATCTGTTCATCTCCAGGGCCCTCCCAGGCCCGGCAGCCCAGCCCTCATCCCCTTGTTTCCCCCTCCAGCGTCCCAACCCCTCACAGGCTGGGAGACTGTCCCTCTGAGGGAGCGTCCAGAAGCCCAGCTGTCGCATCCCCCCAGAGTTCCAGCTCCAACCCCAGCCCACCCTCCATGTCACCCTGGTCCCACCAACCATGGTGGCCGATCCCTGAAGGTCAGGAAGGGGCCTCCCCGCTAGCCGCCAGAGGTCGAGTGGCAGGGCCAGGACTCACAGCTGCCAGCTCCCAGATTAGCCTCTGGCACAGTCAGCAGGGTCTCCGGTGCCAGGAGCAGGCACGGGTGGGGCAGTGTTGGGGGCATCAGATGGGCAGCCTGGGTGGGGCACCTGGAGCCGGGGCTGGCACTCCTTTCCTCGATGGCCCTGGGACTGGGTTTTGACCCTCCCAGGACAGGACTGGGGACAGGCAAGGTGGGGGCCAATGTAGTCTGGTGGGGGCCTTCTCCCAGGCAGTGGCCAAGAGAAGGGGTCTGGTGCAGTTTGCAGACTTGGAGGCAGAGGGGATTCCCATCCTGAGGGCTGGGAGACAGCTGGATAAATGGTGGGGAGCAGGGTTGGGGACGGGGGAGACGAGGGAGAGGGCTGACTGCACCCTGAGGATCACCAGAGCTGTGCTTCCAGACTGAGATCCCTGGCCAAGGGCAGTGGCTCATGCCTGTAATCCCAGCACCTTAGGAGGCTGAGGCAGGAGGATCATTTGAGCCCAGGAGGTCAGGCTGCAGTGAACCTCGACTGTACCATTGCACTCCAGCCCGGGTGACTGAGCGAGACACTGTCTT